GATTTGTACCGTCAATGTGGCCCATTGAGGGTTACCAATATGCTGAAGTGGCCCTCTGTGAAATTGAGTTTGACACCCCTGGTCTAGTAGAACAATTTGACACTAATTTTGAGTTAATGGAGTACATGATTTGAAAGCTATTGAAGAAAACATATTGTTTAATATTAAAATTATTTAAAATATTGAATATGACTTAAAATTTTAATTAAGGATAGTGTGTCTCATGTAATAGTATGAATTACCACTTTTTTGTGTCAGTTGGTCACAAAGCAAGACATTTATTTACATTTGTTTGGTTCGGAAATTGACAATCCCCATTCATTCAGCCTAGTGTTAGTTCACACACACATTTTTGACCTATCATTCAGAATACTATGTCTGTATGCTTTGTGCGTATGGGTGTGTGTGATATTTTAGTAGTGTATATATGCAATCTTAGTCTTTTGTGTGTGTGAGAGAAAGTAAAATTGTATGCATATGTAATATTTAAATAGTGTATATGTGCAATTCTAGTGTTTTTGCATGTGTGTATGAGTCTTTAGTAGTGTGTGTGAGACAAAACATAGTTTTTGTCCTAAACTGCCCCTCAAAATAGAACTTATACAAACACACTCTCAATCTTCCACTCAGACCCTCTTCTCACACTAAGAAGAAATTTTCGTGTATCATCACCAGTTGGTGGCAGTAATGCACATCATGATTGTTTGCCAAACCTACAAGAACGTCAAAGAAGATTCCCGCTCCCAGCAGTCAGTTCGTTTCCATGCGTAGTAGCCACCTCGCTGCAGCAGAATGTCGGTGTTCATGGATCTGAATGTGCTGTTTTCTGCAGACAGGAGCCGCCTGCAGAGCCTAGTAGAGACAGCCGCTCACTGTGAGTCCACTTCCAGTTTCCCTGACTCGCGTCTGGTCTGTGAATCCATCCCATTCGGTCTGTTATAGTTCAGAATAACAACAGGGGTATCACAAGTTCATTTGATGGCTACACCTGGATACGCGGTCAAGCCAGCCGTCGTGGGTTCAATTCGGGTGCTTTAGCTTCCACAGGGGTGTGTGCATGTTGATTGTTATGTACGTCTCAGAAATTAAAATACGACCCACCACAGCCCGTGTCGTATTACTCTCATGGGATGGGATGGGTGGGAAGACCGCTGTAGTGATAGACATTGTTTGACGGCAGTGTTTTTTTTTTAAAGTCATTCATAGAGAAATTGTTCATAGACGTGGTTAGAGTACCCCAAAATTGTACTCGAATCACAATAGTATACGTTCAACAAATGTTTTCTTTAGAAATAGAAAGGAACCATATAATATATTACTTAAGCTTTAATTAAGCAAATGTAAAATAAAATAAAAGGTCTATTCAAGTACTGACATACTGATTATAACATCTGATTTAATAGTTTACATTTAAGTCATCAGTTAGCCAAAAATAGAAAATTCTGGTATTTTAAAGAGTATTACCAAAATATTTATACAAATAAGGAGTTAGGTTTGGAGGCTGGATCAAGACCAAATTTACCACGGGGCCCAGGGCGATCAGTGTTTTTTCATGACGTCGCTTAAAAAAAGAACGAAACACAAAAAAATAGAGCAATATTTCATCATTTGGTATATTAAATACCAAATGATGAAATATTGCTCTGTTTTTTATATATTAAGTGGTATTATATAAAGATTAACATTGGTAAAATTAATGAGATATTTTAACCATTAATTAAGCCACTTTAGGTTTACTGTTTTTAATTAAAGCATGTTTGTTCCTTCTTCAGTGGGATTCTCCACTGTTGCCATCAACTATGTATTTGAACCCACAACCAAGAAGAAACAGGTGCGGTTGGCTGCTGTGTTTTCTGACACATCCACTACTCCTGTCAGTCATTGCTCAGTAAAGTCTGTTTGTTTTCCCTCTGTAGGAAGTTCCATCACCAGTGCCGATCAGTGAGCTTATTGGTCAGCTGCCTGTGGTACAGGGTCGCTCTCGTCCAATCAAAGTGCTGAATAGACTAACAGTGGTGATGTCAGAGGCCAGTCACTTTGTGAGTTTTCCATTGGAGAATGTTGATCAGAGTACCAGATGAAAGTTTTTATTTATTTATTTTTTATAAAGTTGTGATGTGTGTTTGTGTGTTTTGCTCTCCTAGAGGCCAAATACTACAGAGTATCGCGCCTTTGACCTCCTGGCCATCCAGCCAACCACCGAGAAGCTCTTCCATGTGAGATTTACTGACCCTTTGTTTAATCTGAGTTGAAGCAGAATGATTCTTCACCATTTTTTTAAACTCAGCTAGTGTTAAAGAAACAAAGTTTTTAGTGTTGGCCAAAAGACAGCATACAGTTCATCATGTGGGAATTATGGCTGCTCCATTTGAGGAAAAAGAAGTAATAGTGAAGCATGATATATCGGCATTCACAACAGACTACACCGCTATTTTTCTCTGCTGACCTCCATTTCACAGGAATGGGAAGCTGAGAAAAAATGTCAGAATGAGGGTTAGGTTGAAGAAGGAGACCAAGATTCAGCCTTGTTCTTGGTGCTTAGCTGTTAGTTCAATTACACCAAGCAGGAAGTCTGCAGGAGGAGAGGCAGGACAGGGTCTCTTTTGCATTATTGACCTCCTTTGCAGGCTCACATTAACGATTATACTTTTCAGAAACTTTTGTTGCTGATGCAGCGTCAAAAGGCTCAGAATTCTTTTGATCTTAGGTTACGTTCACACTGCAGGCCTTATTCGTCAATTCGGATTTTTTTTAATGTGGTTGTTCTTATTTCCAAATAGATGCAACTTATATGCGGATGCATAGTAGAGAGCATAGTAACGTCAAACGTAGAGCACATGTTCAGTGCTGGTGGAAGTAAACATGGAGGGAAATTGTGGAGCATATGTTGTGGTTTAAAAGTAGTTGTCCAACTGGAGCCAGCACATTAACAAATGAATCCTCATTATTGTCCACCATGATGGTTGTTTTCTTCCTGCTTGTGTGTGTTGGTGATGTTGTCGAGTATCACTGACTTACAGTCTGAGTGAAAGCGGCCAGGTCACATTTGAAAAGGTGAGATACATATTGGATTTAAAACCACATATATAAGTGGCCTGGGTTGCATTGCTAAAAATTCGATCTGTGTTGATCAGACTGTCATGAAAAAAATTCTGATACAGGTTGCGTAATATAAAAAAAATCAGATTTTTTTCATTTTAGGCTGCAGTGTAAAACTGCCTTAGAGTCTTTAGGAAGTGTCTCTGCTTTCTCCCTCAGGGCCACCATCTGTCTGAAAGTATCAATCCTGAAAAACTTCCCTCTGAGCTAAGGGCACTCTAATAGTTTTAACAGAGTAATGCATAGTAACACTGTGTGTTTGTGACAGACCACCTGCATGCTGTGTGACGTTGACATCATTTGCATCTCGGTGACAGAGAAACTTCCCTTCTTCTTCAAGAGAGCGCCCATAAACGGGGTGACCACCTCATTGCAAGTTTCCTGGCTTGCTTCCTTGTTTGTGAGTGTTTACTGCATTTCTCATTCTGTAGGCCATTGACAGAGGAGTGGTGTTTGAGGTGTCATATGCCTCAGCACTCAGGGACTCCACCATGAGGCGCTACACTATTGCCAACGCTGTTTGTTTGATGGAAAGCTGCAAAGGAAAGGTTGGTGTTTTTGCATATGATTCTGTGAGCTGCAACATGATGTGACTTTCAGGTCTGAAATTTTGAAATCTGTTTCTCTTTCAGAACGTCATCGTCTCAAGTGCAGCTGAGAAGGTCAGTGATCAATAATGTGTGGATTAGGGATGCCGATACCGATCATTGCCGATCACCTGGATTGACTGTTAATTTTTTGCTATAGGTATAAATGCTACTATGTGATTTGACAAAATTAAAAAATGATCTGGCAATAAATTCACCTAATTTAGGCATAAAACATGCAAAATACTTGCAGGCACAACACAGCAACTTTTCAGTCAACAGGATAACTGAAAAACCTGCAATCAGTAAAATAATATTTCATAGTAAGGTTCTCAGTACCATAAATTATACATGAGTCAAATAAATGTGCCTATATCAAACAATGTCAAATAAAAAAGGAAACAGTCATTCAAAGTCAAACACAGGCTGCATCAAAATAAACAATCAGAATCAGAAGATTTATTGTCGTCACAAAGACAACGAAATTGCAGTTTCAGTTACAACCATCCATCACGCAACAACACAAGGGGGGGGATAGGATGGGGGGATAGTTGGCTGAGGCCTTGCAGCCCGACTGGTGCCGCCCTTGGAGGAGGAAATAGAAAAAAATAAGAGAAAACATCAGGTAAGGAAGCTATAGCTAGCCAAGCTATCAAGCTAGCAGAAACAACCAATCAGAACCAGCAATAATCAGCTGATTATTGCTGGTTCT